AATTTATCAGTTCTTGTAGTTTTTTAGTGGAATCTTTAGGATTCTCTATAGAGAGTATCATGTCACCTGAAAAATAATGACAGTTTTACTTCTTCTTTTTCAATTTGGATGCCTTCTATTTCTTCTTCTTGTCTGATTACTGTGGCTACACCATCAGTACTACATTAAGTACGAGAGGTAAAACTGGACATTCTTCTCTTATTCCAAATCTTAAGGGAAATACTTGTAGTTTTTGCCTATTGAGTAAGTTGTTGGCTCTGGAGTTGTTGTATATGGCCTTTATTATGTTGACATATGTTCCCTCTATTACCTTGTTGCTCAGACTTTTTATCAAAAATTGTTGATGGATATTATCAAATACTTTCTCTGTATCTACTGATATGATCATGTGGTTTTTAGCCTTGATTTTGTTTATGTGGTGTATCACATTTATTGATTTGTGGATATTGTGCCAACCTAGTACCCCTGGAATAAATCCTAGTTCATTATAGTGTATAATCTTTTTAATGTATTTCTGGATTTGGTTTTCTAATATTTTGTTGAGGATTTTAGCATCTAATTTCATCAGGAATACTGGCCTATAATTTTGTTTGTTTGTAGTGCCTTTATTGGTTTACAATTCAGATAACAGTGGCCTAATAAAATGAGCTTGGGAATCTTCCCTACTGTTGAATTTTTGGGAACAGTTTGAGAAGGGTAAGCATTAGGTCTGCTTTGAGCATTTGGTAGAATTCACCTGGGAACCCATTCAGTCCAGGATTTTTATTTGTTGTGAGTTTTTCTTTTAATTACTGTTTCAATTTCACTACCTGTAATATGTCTATTCAGATTCTCTGATTCTTCCTGATTTAGTTTTGGAAGATTGTACATTTCCAAGAATTTAACCATTTCATCCAGGTTGTCCAGCAAAGACGATCAGATTTGTATGAAACCACAAAAGACCCCGAATAGCCAAAACAATCCTGAGAAAAAAAGGAAACTGGAGGCATCACACTGTCTTGACTTCAAATTATATTAAAAAGTGATGACAATCACAGCAGCATGGTGTTCACAGAAATACAGATACACAGACCAATGGAACCAAATTGCAAGCCCAGAAATAAACCCACATTCATGGGCAAATAATTTTAGACAAAGGAGCCAAAAACATACAATGGAGAAAAGAAAGCGTCTTTAGTAAACGGGGCTATGAAAATTGTAAAGCCACATGCAAAAGAATGTAACTAGATTACAGATTGTCCCCATGTCCAAAAATTAAATCAAAATGGATCAAAGACTGATACATAAGATATGAAACATTATATTACATAGAGGAAAACATAGGTACTAAGTTTGTGGGCCTTGTCCTTAGAGGGGATTTTATGAATGATTCTAAATGCAAGGGAAGTAAAGACAAAAATAAATGAGTGCGACTATATCGAACTAAAACTCTCCTACACAGTGAAAGAAACCGTTGACAAACAGAAGGCAACCAACCAAACAGGAGATAATATTTGCAAACAATAGCTCTGGTAAGGGATAATCTCCAAAATGTATAAAGACTCCATAGAACTTAACACTAAACAAATAAACGGTACAATTAAAAATGGGCAGAGAACCCCAACAGACATTTCTCCCAAGAAGAGATACAAATGGCCAACAGATACATGAAATGATTAGCAAACTATGGCTCTGTGCTAAGTCTAGGCTGGACTCTGGCCTAAAAAATTGTTTTTAATATTTAAATACTTGTAAAAACAAAAATACACAAGTAAAAAGGAACATGTGACTTTATGTGCCCTGCAAAGTCCAAAATATTTACTATCTGGTCCTATAAAAAAAGTGCCAACTCTTGATTTAGAAAATCAAATCAGATATTTAACAAGTATCAGATTTGATGCCATCAGAATATGGCATCAAATGCACAGTGACAGGAGTCTGGGTAGTGAGCACACAATAAAAATGTCCTATTACAAAGTTGCACATGTGAAATTTATATAGTGTTATTAACCAGTGTTACCTATTAAATTTCGTAAGAGAAAACTCTAGTATAATCTAATAAGACAATAAAAAAGCCAGCAGAAAAGATCAGCCCAGTACTTGTTCCTCAAGGGTAATTGTGTATCAGTGTTCCACCATCATATCTGTTCAACAAGCTCTTGTATTTCAAGCTGTATGTAAATTTTCTCAGAGTTACCTAGTAACCTTCAGGAACCATCTCTACCTTACTCTTTGTATTGAACTCTGGGGTTCCGAAGTTAACACAGACCATCCTTTGGGTACCTTGGCTCACGGATGCTTCCTCACGCCTAAGTCCCATGATCTGGACTCAGATCAAGCAATTTCAGATGTAGGTCTACTGCACAGTACTGTGTGAGAAAGTTACTCAAGCTTTGTAAACCTCAGTTTCCGTATGTGTAAGATGTTGATAATAATGGTACCTGCTCACAGGGCCATTGTGTAACATAAATGAGAAAATTCACATAAAATGTTTAACAAAATGCTCAGCACAGTAAACATTCAATAACATAATAGCTGTGATTAGTATTACTATTTTTCTCCATGCTAGTTCTTCGTACATTTCCCCTTATGTCCAAATCCGCTTTGGTCTCCTTCTGTCCCCAGTTTAATTGAGATATAACTGACATACAGTATCTTGACTTTTTTAAATGAAAAATTTACTACCCCTTCCTCGATTTCTTTCACCACAATACTTCTGTAAAGACTAATGTACCCCATTCTTTTGAAGGAGGTAATATCAGTGGAAAGATCATAAATTTTGGAGACAAATATATGTGTGTTGGAACCTGGCTGTTTCACTTATGAGCTGTAATGATGTAAAGTGAGGATATTTTCTAAGCCTGTTTTTCCATATGTAAAATGAGGATACTATCCATTTCTTACAGTCACCAAGAGAATTAAACTGAAGTAAGATATGTAAAGCAGCTGGCTAAAGCAGGTGATAAATCGGTGCCAGTTTTCCACCCCTTATTGTTTTCTTAACCCCATATAATCTAGGCTCTCCGGGTATATTTTAGTTCAATCTGTTTATCTCACTGCAGCTCACATTAGCATTATAAGTGTGGGCAATTTCCTCACATTTTGTAAACCTTCATTTTTCATTTGTAAACAAACTGATCAGTTAACCCAGAATGTAAAGTTGTCTTGAGAATTAAGTAAAATAACATATGTAAAGAACTTAAACATAGTGCCTGGCTTTGTGGCAAGCATGTGGCACATAGTTGCTGATAGTGACTTATTAACGGCCAAATCAAAGGAGTGTCCAACTCTTCTTCTCCAGGCTTCAGTGATAAGATAGTGTTCTGGTTTGCTCCTGAGGCAAGCCACTTACCTTGCCATAAATGAGAGTTGTTTGTGTTACATGTTGCATCTTCACTGTTTAATTTAATGTCTTTTATCTTCATTGTCTGGTAGTTATTTATCTGGAATTTATTGAGTTCCTGATATAAGTCATACTTGTGTTATGTACTAAGGATGGAAACAATGTTATAATTAGTGTCCTCAAGTAGCTTATAGTCTAAAATGGTTGTACAAGTGGTCTATTACTTGCAATGTGGTAAGTTGTACGGTAAGAGTATATCCAGGGTCTTCTTGGAGCACAAAGTAAAGTTATTTAAATTAGACTGAAGAGATTCAGGACACTATATTGTTTTTTTATTCTGTGTATTGATTTTATAGTGGGGAAGAGAGACAGACAGATGGACATTGATTTGTTGTTCCACTTATTTATGCATTCACTGCTTACTTCTTGAATTTGCCCTGACCAGGGAACTGAACCTGCAACCTTGCTGTATTAGAAGACAATGCTCTAACCAACTGAGCTACCTGGCCAGAACCTAGGGTACTATGTTGAAAAAGGCATTTTGTGGTTAGTATACATATAGGCAACACAACTGTATCTGTTAAATGAACTATGAACAGGAATTATGTAGATGAGGATGTGAAATAGCACTTCAGGGCCAGAGAAAGTGAAGGGGAAAGGGCCTGGAGTATAAATGTTAGGAGAGTTCCTCAGAAACAGGACATGGAGTTGTAAATCTGGGGCAGGGTGTTCTAGACACCCTTAAGTCTTAAGTGACACTAGATGGCAGATAATGGAGTGCTAATAACAGTTTTTATACAACTGTTAGAGAGGCATAATCCGATCTGTGTATTAAGTACTGGTGTGGCACTGCCCGAGAAAATAGACTGCTTGGGAGTCAAGCTGCAGATAGTGACTCCAGTTAAAAAGGTACATTGTTACAGCAAGAACTGCAGAAATGGAGTGAGAATGGCAAATCAGGACGGATACAGAAGCAATCCAAAACGTAAATGAACAGAATTACTCACATTTGTATCCCCTGAAAGCAGTGTATTTAACAACTAAAATCCCGTGTTGTATGTAGATATTTGTCTACTGTTATTGAAATCTACTTAGGCAAGTGCAGCTAGCAGCCAGCGTAGTCACTTCCTGTATACAAACTGCTAAAGAGTCACTCAAAGCCAAAAGGCTTGCAATTCCAACCCGCAGGTGAATGACAGAATGCGAAACCCGTGAACTGCAGAGACACTGTAAGACGCGTCTATCCTGGTGTATTTCAACCGAAATACAGTTTGAACAAAGTCCTTCAAAGGGTCATGAGGCCCGGTCCTGTACACCCAGACAGATGCTCAGGACACTCTCCTCTTTCAGTTCAACACCCAGACGTCTGCTGCAGCTTGTCGCCCAGTCCGGCATTTTGACCCAGCGGTTCCCACTCTGCTTTGTGTCGCTGTGCAAACGGTCAGTCGTAGGGAATGCAAGAGAGACTACAATCCCAGGCTGAGAAAACTCTTAACGGGAGACGCGGGTGTGTTCAGGTTTCGAACAGTCAAGATCCTCTGGCCTTGCTGGCACACGCTCACTGCCAGCCCGCCGACTGCTGTGGGCTCCTTTCTGGCAGTTTGGAAGCTCCCTTCCATAGATACTAGAATGCTATTCGCCCCTTGAAAGAGTAAGCAAGCTTTTTCCCCCAACTTACCCTTACAGCCGCCATGTCTGTGACCCTCTCCACCAAAGTTTTCGTACGGAGAGCAAAGAAGGACAAAAGAGTCCCAAGTAGCTCCGCTCATTACAGCTCCGCCTGGTTACGCCTTCTGTTTGCTAGCTTCCCCCCGCCCCCTTCTCCGCCCTCCTACAACTTCTTGGGGGAGCTGCTACACAGTGTATCAGCTGTCTTCTGGAAAGGGCTCATCCTTTTGGTTGGCTGTCTCTACTCCCTATAAAGCCTTTCAAAACATTCCCCATAGTCCAGTTGAAAGTTACTTTGCTCGATGCAGAATATTTCATTATTTTCGTTGTGTCAGGCAAATGCGACTTGGCTAAAGATTTAAAACTGAAGTCCGACTGCCTTAATAAATAACTAGATCGTCACAAAGCAAACGTTACTTCTGAGATAAATGGACAAGTTCACACATTCTAAAACTATGTAACTAACCACTTAATATATGTTAAGCACCTGTCCAAGTTACAGAACGAAACATACTACCTACCCCAATGGATCTTATGTTTCCAAGAGGAAAACAGACACGAATAAATGTTACAAAATACCAGATACTATGAAGGAAAAAAAAAACAATGTGGGTTTATACAGCTTAGGAAAAGTCTTTCTAGTAAGCAAACTAGTAAGCTAACATTTCACAAAAGTCCAGAAGGAATTTAAGGAACAGGGTTCCAAACAGAGGGAAGAACAATGACATTACATTTGATTCTGAATAAGATGACAAGTCAAAGAATGGTTTTCAGCAAAATATGTGGCATGACCTACTCTAGATTTTATAAGGATCATATTGGTACTATAAGGAAAATATATTGTGCATAGATGCAATATTCTCAACACGAGCGACATCCACACTATGCCTCCAGTGAATGATTCTAAGGAAAGATGCTCATAATCTGCCCACTGACATATCCACCATCAACTCACTCATTCAGCAAATATTTCACTACAAACTATATATATATGTATATATATATATATATATATATATATGACATCATTGACATAACCAGCATATTTGACAGATGATGTAATTTTCATTGTATTTTATTGTTTACACTATTACAGTTGTCCCTACTTGTTTCCCCATTGCACACCTCCATCCAGCACCCACAAAGTCCTACACTAGTCATTTTTTAACAGCCTCCTCCTCTATATGACACTATTACTTTAAGAATAATGGTGAAATTAAACAATTAATGAAGGCCACCAAAGAAACAGGGTGATCTTTTATGAATCTCTCTCCCCTATCATGCCAACATAAAAATGAAATAGAAAATAAATAACACAGTAAAAAAAGTAATGTACGATGTCCTAACAACAAACACCAAATTTTGATGTTTTCTACTTTCATTAATGTACTCTTAAATTTTATTTATTTATCTTATCTTTAGAGGGAAAGGGAAAGAGAGAAGGAGAGAAATATCAATGTATGGTTGCCTCTCATGGGTCCCCGCTGGGAACTGGCCTGCACAACCCAGGCATGTGCCCTTGATACCGGGTGCAGCCAAGGAGGGGGGCCCCAAAAAAAGATTTGGAACGGTGTCCAGAAATCAAGGTGTATAGGAATATTGGAGAGATGTATGAGATGTCCTCACCCCTTCCCCCCCAGGTGTGAGTTGGGGGAAGGGACACATGGAGCAGGAACATGCAGGGCTGTTTTGTACAGCCACAGCCTTGCAGCTAATCCATGGCAGGGCCATTTAACATATCTATAGCCTTTGGCGGGTCACTTGGATATGCTAAATGGCTGTGGCCAGGCTTGGAGCCATGGAGATGAAGTCACTTCCCCCTCCCCAAGATGTAACTGGGGGGCAGGTCCCCCGAGTTACAGCACCTGCATGGGAGCTTGGAGAAGATTGGCTCTAGGACATGGGGCCATACCTGCCCAGACTAATGATGGCAGCCCAGTAAACTTGTAATAACACAGAAATACTGGCAGGTGTAACTGATCGTGGGAAGAGTGGGAAATAGGGGCACAGAGGAAGATTGGCGCAGGATTTAAACCCAGACATGGCAGCCATTAGGGGGGAAAGCATGCAGTTTTGGCATAGTGAGGACCCCCTCTTGCCCAGGTGGCAGGGAGAGCCACGCAATTTTAGCAGAGTGAGGACCCCTGCAGCCAGGTGAAGAAAGCCACATGCTTTTGGTGGAGTGCGGACCCCTGCAGCTTTGGCAGAAGAGGCCCACATGGCTTTGGGGTGCTCCCTTTGGCTGTGTGGCCTGTAAAGCAGGAGAGACTTTGCCTGGAAAAATGGGTGCAAAGAACTCTTGCCAGTGGACCATGAGAAGATGCTGCATGACTTTGGATTAATTGGAGATCCTGCCTGGACCGCGACACAGCTCATGGTACCAGCAGCCTGGAGAAAAGGACATGTGCATTTCTCCTGATTTATGGTACTGGGAGTTAGGACAGGGGGAGAAGGGAGCGCTGTGTGCATAGGTAGATACCCTGCAGGACGTTGATATTTTAATGAAGACATTAGGTCTGAATAGCATTAAATAAACATTTCCTTTCCTTTTCACAAATCTCTGGCATTGAGAGATGTCTTTCCAAGTGGCGACTGACGATCAGCCCCCTAGGGGGTCTAGATGGTATTAGTATGCCAATTAGTATACACTGGAGTCTGGGCCCCAGTGTATCTGTTCTGTAACAGCTTTTTTTGGCATCCCTGGGTGGGCCAAATGTTGCCCCCCTTAGACCTCTGTTCGGAAACACTATGACTGGGAATCAAACCACCATCCTTTGGTTCGCAGGCTCGCACTCAATCCACTGAGCTACACCAGCCAGGGCTTATTGATATATTTTTAAAGGAGGAAGAACTCACACCTACATATTGGTCTACCGTGGAAATGAATAATACCAGTACAGTTTCTGATGTGAGCTTTAACATCTGGATATTTGTCAATGACTTCATAAAAATCTAATATGTTTATAGATTTAATAGATGATATAGGTAAATTTGTGAAGCCTTCATAGTTGATAGCAGAACACTTTTCATTACTTTTAGCATTACTAAAATTTATTTCATGTTAAAAACAGATATACAAATATGAAAGATTTTAACATTGTGAATAAGTTTGAAAGAGAATCACAAAAATCTGATTTCATAACTTTCATGAATTACAGTACCTTCCATGTCTGTTCGCTCAGGATTAAATCTGCAAGCATTCACATTTTTCACACTTCAAAATTTCAACTAAAATAATTTTTAAAAAATTTTATTTATTTATTTTTAGAGACAGGGGAAGAGGAGGGAGAGAGAGAAACATCAATGTGTGATTCCCTCTCAAGCGCCCTCTACTGGGGGCTTGCCTTGCAACCCTGGCACTTACACTGACCTGGAATCAAACCAGAAACCCTTTAGTTCATAGGCCGGCACTCATTCCACTGATCCACACCATCCAGGGTGATACTAAAATATCTCCACCAGAAAACTTATCATAGATTTCTACAATAGTTGAAAAAACTTCACAAGTTTTTCTTTTTGTGTGAAAATGTCTTAATGAAAAGAAACTTTGGCATCATTTCATCCATTTCTTTAGAACAGGCATCCACTATTTAGGGCAAATTATCAAAGTATTAAGAAAGTGCCTTTTGCCCTGGCTGGTGTAGCTCAGTGCATTGAGCGCGGGCCTGTGAACCAGACAATCGCGGTTCGATTCCCAGTCAGGGCACATGGCAGGGTTGCAGGCCGGTTCCCTACAGGCCAGTTCCCAGCAGGGGACGCACGAAAGGCAACCATACATTGACGTTTCTCTCCCTCTCTCCTTCCCTTCCCCTCTAAAGATAAATAAATAAAATCTTAAAAAAAAAAAAAGAAACTGCCTTTTTATTTTTTTTTGGCAAGGTCAGACCAGCATTTTTTATTGTTTCTCCTACTTTTTTTCCTCACATATGAATATTCTGTGCATGTAGGTATTCATTTTCTTACATTGTATTGTTGCTTAGGAAATGTCTTTCTCCACAATTTTGTGACCCAGTCTTCAATGAGCAATTTAAAACTCAGTTTTTTACTTTGCATCACTCAAGACTAATTTGGGCTGGTAGCACATATTTTTAAATCTGATTAATAGCCTTATCTAAAGTTTCACACCAGAAAAATTCAAACTTAGTAAAACATTTCATGTATAAATTAAAAGTTATATTTTCATAACAAGAAATTACACCTGGAATTTTGTTCTGTTCTAGTGTTTTACATTTTAACACAAATAGAAACACAAAGTAGTCACACAGATGGCAGAATTTAGAATAACCCAGGTTCTATTTCTGTCTTGAGAATTATTGTGCTGTCATTATTCATTTCTAATCTACTTTTTAAGTGCAGATACATGACACCACAGGGAATGGAGACTGCACCAGGGAATCTGCACCAAAACTGAGATGCAATCAATTTGTAAACTCTGCAAACTTATTCTCTAAAGAAATATGTGTAGTTCAGTTAACATGTTTTTGGGGACCAACTGTATAAGCATGAAATCTTTAAATTAACTTTTAGGAAGCTAACAATGTTTGTTAAAGAATAAGTTACCAAAAAGTACTAGTTTGAAAGATGAAATGTATATTATGAAAACTCAAGAATAACACAAAATTTGTTTAGGGCTTAGATAAATAAAAAGATACACATACCCTTATGTTCATTGCAGCATTATTTACAATAGCCAGGGTATGAAAGCAACTAAGGTGTCCATCAATAAATGAATGGGTAAGTAAGAGGCGACACACAAACTTTATTCTTCAGTATAGGAAACATAATATTCCTATATTGTTACAGAACAGACCTGGGGGGATGATATACTATTACCTAATGAACCCACCCTTGTGCTCCAGGACCCCCCTGCCCGCTGTAGGTTTGCCTTGCCTGCCACCAGGGAAAGACATCTCTCAATGCCAGAGATTGGTGAAAAGGAAAGCGATTATTTATTTAAAAAGTTATATGAACTTAAGAGTAATGACTTAATGTCTTCATTGAGATCTCAGATTCCTTTAGAACACCTACAAACGCACAGTCCTTCCTTCCCCCTCTGCCCAGTCTGGGGTACTGTATCTCAGACAAAGAAATAG